ACAATTGCGCTCACTTGATGGGTCATCTTGATTGTCTCACACTCCATTGATCTCTTCTTTGTAACCAAATCCTTCATGAATTTCGCATAACTCGGCATTTGCTCGAGTGCCTCCACCAAAGGCACATTGATAGTCAAACTCTTCATCATCTCAATGAATTTCTTAAATTGGTTATCACCTTTTTGCTTGGCCAAACGTTGAGGATAGGGCGGAGGAGGCCTAGGCAAGGGTTCCTTGGCTTTGGGCACCGCCGGCTCGGGCATATCTATCACATGTTCCCTAGACGGGTTCATGGTCTCTTGTGTCTCCTCCTCAACCTCATGAATGTCAATCCCCACTTCATTTCTAGCACTTGGTTCCACCACATCATCAACCCCCATAGGAATATCATCATCACGCAACTCTTCTTCATCAACCATGATTCGACTCTCTCTTGAGGCATGCACATCACCGCCTCGTCCACTTCGCGTGGTCACCGCCATCACATGGTTGTTGTGTCCACCCTTAGGGTTTACTACCATGTCACTTGGTAGAGCACCCTTTGGGCGAGAGTTTAAAGATTGGGAAATTTGTCTTATTTGCACCTCTAGGTTCCAGATAGATGTGTTGTGTGAAGCCAATTGAGCATCAGAATCTTGGTTCTTTTTCATCATTTGCTCAAACATCATCTCTATTCGCCCCATATCACTTCCGGAAGAACTAGACCCTTGAGATTGAAACGGTGGCGGGTTGTTTGGTTGTTGAAACATCAGAGGCCTTTGAAAGCCTTGCCCCCGATTACCTTGACCAACATTGTTGTTCCACCCACCTTGACCATTGTTGTTCTTCCAATTGTTGTTGTTGTTTCCATTCCAATTTCCACCATTGTTTCCTTGATTCCCCCAATTGTTGTTTTGATTATTCCCATTCCAATTTCCACAACTTTGTTGATTGCCCCAATTTCCTTGGGGATGCCATTGTTGATTGCCTTGGTTTCCTCTATTTCCTTGGTAGTTGTTAACATATTGACATTCTTCGCTTTGCTCATCATAGCACTCGTTTGAATAACCGCTACCATCATCATAATTGTCACAATTTCCTTGAGATTGTTGTCCTCTTTGCCTTCTTTTCATCATATTCACTCCTTCCATGGCATTGACTTGGCGCGCGTTTTGAACTTGTTGCAATAGCGCCTTCGCCAATTGATTCATTGTTGTTGTGAGTTCGGCAATGGCTTGGCCGTGATCATGCAACTCCTTATGCAAATGTACGACATTAGGATCACCTTGAGGAACGTTTGCCCGGCTTTGCCATGCCGAAGAAGTATCGGCCATCTCATCAAGTACACCACATGCCTCTTGATACGAAAGTTTCATGAAGTTCCCTCCAGCTAGTTGGTTCACAATGCACTGATTCGTGGTGTTGATGCCCCTATAAAACGTTTGTTGGATCATTGCTTCGGTCATGTCGTTGTTAGGGCACTCCTTCACCATGGTTCTATATCTTTCCCATATCTCGTGCAATGGTTCCGTTGGCTCTTGTTTAAAGGCTAGAATTTCGTCCCATAGAGCCGCCATATGAGTTGGAGAAAAGAACTTGGCAATAAACTTGTCCGCCAATTCGTCCCATGTGGTAACAGAATGATTTGGTAACCTTTCCAACCAATCTAGCGCTTTACCCCGAAGAGAGAACGAGAAAAGCCTTAACCTCAATGCATCCTCGGACACGTTTGTTTGTTTACTCCCCAAGCAAGTATCTACGAACCCCTTCAAGTGCTTGTATGCATTTTGCTTAGAGGTTCCCGTAAAATACCCTCTTTGCTCAAGAAGCGTCAACATAACATTGGTGATTTGAAAATTCCCCGCTCGAATTCGGGGAGGAACTATGGCACTTGCATAACCTTGGTTTGGAAGAACTCTTGGGGCCACTCTTGGCGGTGGCGGAGGAGGGTCTGGGATTTGGTCATTTGGATTAGCATTGGCATTTCTACCTCTCCGTGGTACTTGAGGTACCGGAAGCTCATCTTGCTCAACATCTTCAACCTCCTCCCCCGCCAAGGCATTGCCAAGAGGGTCATTTCCGTTTAGAGCCATGTGTACCTGATGGATCAACACAAATAAAGTTAGTAAAAAGAAGGAAAGAGAAGCAAAACACAAAACTAGCTACACAAATAGTCAACACCGTAAGCTCCCCGGCAACAGCGCCAAAAAGTTGATCGCAGCGGACTCAACCTTAGGAAGAGTGGGCGCTAATACTTTTACCCAATAGTGGTATCGGGGTCAATTTCCACAGGGAGCTAGAAAGGGAGTTGGATATTTGCTTAGCCTAGAAATGCGTGTTTGCTTCTAATTGATCTTCTAATATTTTTGGGTTTTTACGATTATCAACTACAATTTAACAACTACTAATTATAACTAAATTATGCTAAGATATTAATTCTAGGTTGTATGCAAGATAGAGAAAGACACTAGGGTCGTGGCATTTACCTAGGTGGTCAACTAACGGGTAGAGATTCCTAATACAAGAATGATGATTATGGGGCTTATGCTATAACCGTTGCACGATTGCACTCACTCTCACACCTCTCGGTAGAAAGAGTAATTTTTCCCAATTGACTCTCTCGAGACCAATTGGGTAGGCCAACAAGCCCAAGCAACTTAGGGTTCAAGTTGGGTAATTACTCTCTCGAGGTTTAACCCGTTAATTGGGACTACCATTCTCGTGGGTCCATCCCAATTCCTTGTTGGGTTAATTTTGGAGTCATAGACACTCTTCTCAAGAAGAGTCAAGACCCACTAAGCTAGACTTAGTGTTTGCAACCACCAAATCCTAGTTAAATCATAAAATTAACCCAAATAGCAAACACCCAACATCATTCAAGCATTAAACAATCATACCCATTAATTATCCACACTAGGGTTGAGCCACAACCCTAGCTAATGGGTTTAGCTAGACATAATAGCAACAGAAATTGAAGAAGTAGTAGTTAAAATCAACATATTAATTAACTAGAATGTTAATCTACAAGAATCCACGATGAAACAAGATAAAAATGCCCAAAATAGGCTAAAACTTGAGTCTCACGAGTGCAGCTGCTATCTGATATCTAATGTTTTACCTAAAAATAATAACATATTCTATTTATACTAGGCTAGAAAAACTGGACAAAAATACCCCTGCGGGGCTAGCGCGGACCGCGCAGAAATGCAGGGCCGCCGCGTAGGGGTCTTGGTCCTCGATCACTCACTTCTGAAGCTGGGGATGCGGACCGCGCAAAAAGGTAGCGCGGCCGCGCAGGCTAATGGGCGCGGACCGCGTAACAATGAAGTGCGACCGCGTGGAAGGAAATCTCCACAAGCGCTGACCGCGTAGAAAGGAGCGCGGACCGCGCATGGTTAGCCTTGAAATGTATATTCTCTGAATCTCCTAGCACGGCCGCGCAGCAAAACAGTGTGGTCCGTGCTAGGTCCTCTTGTCCCCACTTCAATAATTTTTGACACTTGAGTAGGTTTCACTCCGTTTCGAGCCGATTTTTGACTTTTGTCATCTTGTCGCTCAAACCTGCAATCAAGCGCACTTTGTAAGCATTCTGGGTCTATTTTATGACAATTCATACATAAAGCATAGGCAAGTATGGGCATAAAACGTGTTAAAATCACAGTTATCAGTGGTGATGACCGGTATTCCTTGATCTCCTTCAGCGCTTGTTTACACTCGGGCATTCATTTGAGGCCTTTATCCTTTTGATCACATGGAAGAATATGTGACATCTATCGGACGACCTCAAAATAAATCTGGACAGGGTAGTGATTTTACCCGACAATCATTGGACTTGTTTATTGGTAGTTAGGTGTTCCAATATCCCCCGACCCCCCGATGGCCTTAATTTGATATGGGTTGACCTTGATTCCGCGTTGTGACACCAGGAAACCCAGAAATTTACCCGAAGTCATGCCAAACGCGCATTTTTCAGGGTTTAGTTTCATTCCATATTTCCTCCATATTTTGAATAATTCCTTCAGATGGTCGATGTGATTCTCAGACCTCAAGGATTGACTAACATGTCGTCGATGTATACTTTCATGGTCTTGCCAAGCTAGGTTTTGAACATCTTCATGACCAGCCTTTGGTGTGTGGCCCCTATGTTTTTTAACCCGAATGGCAAGACCCTATAGAAGTACGTTCCCCTGTGAGTGATGAATGTAGTTTCTCCTGGTTGTCTTCCTTCATAAGTATCTGATTGTAGCCCGAGTACGTGTCCAAGAAACTCAGCAACTTGTGTCCCAATGTGGCATCGATGAGCTGGTCGATATGCGGCAGTGGGCACGAATCCTTCAGACATGCCTTGTTCAGATTGATGAAGTTCACGCAGATCTGCCACTTCACATTATTCTTTTTTACCATTACTACGTTTGTGACCCACTAGGGTACTTCGATTCCATGATAGAGCCGTTTACCAGGAGTTTCTCCACTTCCTCGTGGACGACCTCGTTGATGGCGAGGTTAAACTTTCATTGGAATTGCCTTACTGGAAGGTAGTAAGGGTCGGCATTCAGCTTGTGCGTAGCTATCTCTTTGGGGATACCTGGCATATCTGCATGACTAAAAGCGAATAAGTCTACATTAGTTATTAATAATTGACTGAGCTTACCTGGGTTCCTGAGCTTACTGCCTATGTAGGCCTTTTTATTAGGGTCGCTTGGGTCTGGTTGGACGGGTTCAAGTTCCTCTATGGTCAAACCTGCGTCTTCGACCGTTTCTGGATCCATAATGGTGTCCTTGGCTTTGACTTGAAGGGACCTCGACCCTTCTGATTGCTATGCTTCTTTTTTTTTCTCTCTTTTGCTGAGTGGTCATACTATCTAGAGTGATCCGATAGCATTCCCTGGATGTGCGTTATTCCCCTCGTATGCTGAATATTCCGAAGGGTTTGGGAACTTGATCACTTGGTACAGGCTGGAAGAGATTGCCCTCATGAGGTGTATCCACGACCGACTCACGATGGCATTTTATGTTGTGTCCTAGTCCATGATGTGGAATGTGGTCTCCAGCATCACCCCGCCAGCGAGGACGGGTAGTGTGATCTCCCCCGAAGTCCGTTCAACTATATTGTTAAAACCGGTTAGTGTGATGCAGTGTGACTCTACCTTATCCTTGAGTCGCATCTGAACGAGGACTCGGGGCGGGATAATGCATGTCATGCTTCCATCGTCAACCATAATCCTCCTAATATCTGTATCAAGAATGCATAAAGTAATAACAAGTGCAACATTATGAGGGAAGGTCAAACCGTCGGCATCCGACTCATCGAAGATTATACTTTCTTCGAGGTTGTCATCCCGTTTGTGGGTGATCGATATCTTGAGTTTGTGGGTGGAAGTGAAATTGATGCCATTGATGGAGGTGTCATCACTGCCTATGATAACCATGTTAATGGTACGAGCGGGAGACAGTGACTTTGGCAGGCCTGGGCGTTCTCTCCCCTTTGCTAGGGTATTCTTGCCTTTATCACTGAGCAACTCCTTGAGGTGTCCTTGTTGAAGCAGAGTCACCACTTCTAAGCTTAGAGCGTGGCAATCCTCGGTCTTGGTGGAACTCACAGAATGCATCCGACTTCCTAGTGTTCACCTTTGGTTCGAGCTTCTCGAGTGCATAAACCACGTCTGAAGGTGACACACAGAAATTATGATCAGATAGTAAAGGGGCCATACCTCAGTCACTTTTAGGGATGTCAGATCTTGGCGTAGAGGGGTCGTCTTCGCAGTGGAAGTTGGGGGCGTGTGGCCTGATGTAAGGTTTATGCCGATCTTTGTTTGGGCACATCATGGGAGGTCTTCTCCTCATGTTATTCCTACGTTCCCTCTTGGTTTCGGATTGCACTGAGATGAGTCGTCGGGTTGGCCCATTGAGGTCTTCTTCATCTGCTCTTGCCTCAGCATAATAGGCATTATGGATCTCGTCCTAGGTGGTCGTGGGTATTTCATCAATCGGCTTAGTAGCTTTCTGGTCGCCCTCAAACCTTCTCCATTTAGCTCGTTCTGGAAGGCTGATATGACCATTCCTTCAGAGATGTTTGGTAAGGTCATCCTTACTCAGTTGAATCAAGCTAAAAAGTCCCTTAGTCCTTACGAACTTAATGGAGAAGATGTCGTTTACCCTAGTTTCGGCCTTCTTGGCTCCAGCATGAGCTGTTACAAACTTCTCCACCATCTCTTAGAATGTTTCTATGGAGTAGGGTTGCAACTGCGAGTACCATGTCAATGCTCTCCCTACGAGAGTTTCATCAAACTTTTTTAACAAGATGGAGTACACCTGCTCTTTGGTGAGGTCATTGCCCTTTATTACAGTGACTTAATGGGTCACATGGTCCTTGGGATCAGTTGTCCCGTCATAGATCCTGAGGTAAAGGTGCATTTTGAAGGTTTTCGATATCGAATGAAGAGTTGCTTCTTCCCTATACGGCTACTCCACAAACCTGTCAGCGTCTCTTTTTTGTATTAATTTGGCGCACCTGGTATCTTGTCTACCCGTTCTTTATGCTCTTTCATCTGTTCCTTGAGTGTCCTATTCTCGTTCTCCATCTCCTTCATTTTTTTTAACACGAGGGCGAGGGCGCTATCATCTGCACTGTCAGCAGTCGTATGGTATTACCTGAAGTTGGAGTGTTTAGTTGGTCATTCTATCCACTCTCATGCTGGGTGCGGGGATCTTTGGGGTTTCCACGGTTTTGCACGAGACCTGCTTACTCATCACGCTGACTAAGGTGTCAGTTAGCCAAGCCTTTGGGAGTTTTTTTACGGCGGGTAGTGCTCCTTCCTCCGCAAACGTGGAAGCCTCTTTCCAGTCGGGTTTGGTCGTGGTACAAAAGGGTGCCGACGACTTTCCTAGCCTGGGGGATCGCGTAGGGGTTGTTTCTTCGTCCTGTGTTTCGTACCCTTCGTTGATGGCACTCATTAGATTGAGCGGGTTGTTGTCTTCCGCTCTTGCTCCTTTTCCTTGGTCCACTTTTCCCTTGTTACCTGTCATGGAATTCTTGTATACAAAGAAAAAGGAAATAGTTTTACAGTATATTAGGTTAACAAGTTATGAACGTTGTAGATCTGTAATTTGACTATGAAATCCCCACAGATCGGGGCCAAACTATATGACCCAAAAAATAGATCTAGGTTTTATACAATTTGATTTATTGAAAAAAGGGGGTTAATAACCAATGTTAATATCCAATAACGGATCCAGTGCTTTACGATGAATATTTAATATATAGTATTAAAGAAGACAACTTGAGATAATAATGGAGCAATAAAGACTTGAAAATACAAAAGATGACAATAAATGACTTTTGAATAGTAGATGAGACAAGGATAACCCGACAAGGATGAAATCCTTGGATGTCTTTCTGACAATGATGGATAATGATAAGCAATCTTACATTCTGATTTTTCTTCGATTGGGAGAGAGGGATAAAAGAAGGAAAGTGTAAAGTCCAGCTTTGTTTCTATTTAATAAAATGAGAATCTTGTAAAAAGAATGTTGATGAATTTCTTTACAAAAGTTTCAATCCTTTTTATGATCTACTTCTCTTCTATAGTTCTATTTATAAGAGTACATGAACCACAAAACCCCAGACAATACACCATAAGGAAATATCCATTAGAATATTCTCTAGGGAATATAAATACTAAGGTTGCTCATCACTTCATACTGAGGATGGATGTCTGTCCTCGTCCTCGTCCTCATCTTCTGCCAAGCTATTTTGACCTTGGCAGTGCTTTATCTTTTACATCGACCTCAACCTTTTGAGGTCTTGTCGACACGTCACATACATCAAAAGCTTTATTACCGTTGACTAGTTCAAACACGTAAAATGAAGTTTTCGCCCATGCAATATGTTTCTAATTAATTTAAGTCTTTTGGAGTAGGTTCAATCCTACATTCGTTTTAAGTTGGTTGATTCTTGTTCAAAATTTAGATGTTTTTCTTTTATCGTTTTTGTTATTTTACTAAATTCTAAACTAATTCGGGCCTTTTAGGTATATATTTTACCTAAATTAATTAGTATGTAGCTTAATTTACTTTACTAACTAGAAATTACTTTACTAATTTACATTTATATTCATATTTCGAGTCAAAAGTCGTGGTTCTATCAAATTTGCAAAAGCTTTCACTATCCCCTATCGTTCACATCATTGAAGATCACTTTAGGCTTCATAAGCTAAACAAACAAAGTGTAAGTTCTGAGAGGCGTAGAGGGAAAATTTTATTTTGTTTCTTATACAGCTGACACTAGTTGTATGAGGTATCCTTTTTGTTTTACAGTTTTGTAAACCCAGAAGTGTAAGATTGGGATCAAAAAATTTGTGAGACAAAAAGGAGTCCCACACAATTAATATCAATTATGCGAGACACACAATAAAACTTTTCGGCGTAGAGTAATGAACAATCCAAATCACAGCACATGTCATCTATCTATAATTTTCCTGTCAATTTTCAAATAACTCTTTGTAGGAAGAACGTATATATCACTTCCCCTTTGTTCTTACTTTGCTTCCAAAGCAAACAATATAAACTTTTTGGCTCACTCCCTTTTGCCACTCACTCATTGCTCTCAAGTCTGAATTCTCCAACAACAAGCAAACTAGGTATACTGTCAGAACTCTAATATACAAATTTTTCAGTCTCAAGATTTCATGAGATTCAAAACACACAATTATCTGTACTCTATTTTTGATAAACATTACCCCCTCCTGTCCACAATAAGTGACCAATTTGCTTTTGGCACGCCCATTAAGAAAATACTACATTCTATATAAAAATACCTAGTATGACTAAACTACCCTTAATTAAATATTTAATGTGAGGAGTAATAAATTTTTTTAGAGATATGTACATAAGGGTAATTTTGTAAAAACAAATTGAATTCTTTCTTGATTATGTAAATGGACACTTATTTTGGACCAAAATAAAAAAGCAAATTGGTCACTTATTATGAACCGGAGGCAGTACATTTTTTAATTTTCCGTTTTAATTTCGTACACAAATTTTCAAGATTTAAAGCTTCAAAAAAGGTGGCACGTCTAGTGGGGAATGGGACCAATAAAAACATGAGAAAAAAGGGGAAATACTGCATATATATTGTGACATAAATGTAGGTCATAGTCGTCAGATAGGTCAGAAAACATTAAATAGGGTGTGGGTGGGGGGGGGGGGGGGTAATTTAAAGTTCGAAAGAATATAGGAGTAAGTTCTAGGCATGCACATTGTAAACAATATTACAGGATTAGGTCAATTACATGTAAGTTTAGGTAAATCTCTATAATACATTTGATATAATAAGTCAACTATATATATTAAGGACCCATTTGTCCATAGAGATTTTTTCTTTTTTCAATTTTGTTTTCTTTCAAAAACGCGTTTGTCTATGGAATTTTGTAAGTTTTGGTAATTTTTCAAAAATGAGTTTTTCAAATTTCAAAAAGTAGTTTGACCACTTTTTCAAAAAAATTCAAAAAAGTTTTTTACCCACTCACAAAATTATAATATTTATTTCAAATGTAGTACATGTCCAAACATAATTTTAAATATTATTTTTTAACTTAATTCTAAATGCTATTCTTTTTCAAAAATTATACTCCATTTTTGATGTCCAAATGCCTACTAAGTGTGTTACTGTGTCTATGTATACAACTTAAATTGAGATAGAAAAGGAGACAAACATATATATGAAGCATCCAAAAGGGTCCACTTTGCTGAATTTGTTTTAATGAAAGAGAGAATAGCTTTGAATCCCCTTATTTGAGAAAGCATGTGGGTGCATTTCTGTACACATGCTTTGGTTCTTCTAATATCTCCTCCTCCTCCTCTTCTTCTTCTTCTTTTTGTTTTCTCCAAGAGAAAAACTCGCGGCTGTTACAACCTCTGCCACAACCTCTGCCCTTTGGGTGAACACTTTATGATAAGTATTTCGTGCGCACTGGGTAAACCTCGCCCTGTGTAATAGCTTGCAAATCACACATGAAATATAAACCGCACTAGGCAAGTCCTGTGCGACATCTTTTTTTTTTCTCCTTTATTTCTCCTCTCTAAGATTCTCATATCTTTGATTTCGACTCATGTAATCTTATCACTCATTCACTTATAATGTGTATTAACTATCCGGAATTTTCAAGTGGTCTACTTGCTAGTTGCTACTTTTCTCGCTTCTTTAATTCAATTAATTAACCTTAGTTTGCTATACAATTTGTTAATTTTATTTCGTTTTACTCTAGTGAGTTTAGAGGGCTAGAAGTCAAACATGTATATAGGTAGAAATGACACCAGATAGCCACTTTAAAGGGCTGCTATTTAGGGATTAGCCAATGCGTTCTAAATTTTAATTTTTCAATTCAATTTTCGGAACAAAAGTATATCCTAAAATTAAGATTAATTTAAA